TATTACCCCTGGGACGCGATCCACCAATCGACTAACAACCAGGTTCCTACTTACAGTTGAGTAAACAGATATGTGTGGAGTAAGGATATTGCCTAAGGTTTCACTCTGTCTACAGCAATTTGCGCAGAGCAAAGTCAAACAAACTTCCAGGAGGTGAATTGCCATTTTAAAATTTTGCAATCAGGAATAAATGTTTTTCAAAGCTTTTTAAATATACAAGTACATATAGTTATTTGGAAGAATCCAACAAAAATGTCTTGTTTTTTTTCAGCTTTGCTGAAGTGAAGTCCTTGACTGTGTAGGTTTGACTAGACTGGACTTTGCCAGGAATGGTACAGTGTCTGATACAGGTGACATGCAGACACTGAGCCAGTCAGGAGACAGTCACCGGAGGCTTACCCTGTACCTAACAACGGGACTGGTCAATCAGGAGAAGGTCACCGGGGTCTTAGGCTGTGCCTGGCAATGGAAAGAGCGAATTGAGATAAAATATAGTGTATTCAGCCTGTGGATGTTTCTCAAATCCGGCATCCGGGCCTCAGCAGCCAAAAGGTTGGACCAACCCTCACCTTGGCTTAGAGTATGTGAGTTCCAGGTCCTAACGTAGGGCTTGACCCACAACCTTCTGTCTCGGAGACGAGAGCCCTACCAACTGAGCCGGGCTCATACCAACTGAGCTAATCTAGGAAGCCCATTCTGCAGAAACCCCGCTTACAAGCTGAGACTGAATTTAAGAATTTTACAATTCTGTGCAATTTTACCTTTTTAAGGAGAAAATGGCCTTGCGGACTAATGCTGTGGAGGTTCAGGCTTCTGGAGTGGTAAAATTCCTCACCACGAGTACTGATCACACGTCCAAGGCTTGTTCAATCGGGACAGTGTTTGACTTGTGCACTTGTTCAGCCGGTCCCATGTGTTCTGCTCTGTTAAATCTGTTCCTACTTGTGGTGTGAGAGAAATGTTCACATCACAGTCAGGCGAAGCATTCCTGTGAAACACTTGACACGTGCATTAGCAATGGAGAGGGCAGAGTTTAAAGCACTTTGTGTGAAATCATCAATCTAGCACTGACTGTAAAAGATAAATTATTAATAATTATTAATATGTAACTATTTCAAGCTTCTTAGCAACATAACATATACAACTTTGTAAATGTTCCCAAAATGATTAAAACATTAACTTGCCCGGAGGTTAGATTATTAGATCTTGGCATATCTTTCATCCCAATGCTCTACCCTTTCACTGTACCCCTCAAGAACTCTACAACCCCAACTAGCTTCCTTTTAAATATCCCTGTTGATTTGACCTCCACAGCTTTCTCGGATGCAGTTATTCCCATTTCTCTGGTTACTTATCTCCTGACATTTCTAAATCTCTAGACCTTATATCAACACATCATTGGACATCCACGACTGCAGCTATGTCAAAAGCTTCTGCTGTTGTTACTTTAGGAACTAAGGTTAGGAATGACTAAGGAATTGAATGTAATAACTTGCACTTCTATAGCAGCTTTCACAAATAATATACAACATGCACAAAGGCCTTAACATTTATGATTGAGTATTTTATAAGTGTTTTTAAAAAAATAATAATTATGGAGTGTAAATTTTATTTGAAACTGTTACAAACACAGTGAAGCAGCCGTTTCTCCCACAAAATACAGTCAATTCACTTTACAATATATTCTGTGAAGCGTTTTGAGACATTTCAATGACTGTATCAAATGCAAGGAATATTATTACAACAACCACCACCACCACCTGGATTTGCACAGCGCCCTCCACGCCGGACGGCGTCTCAGAGCTCTTCACAGTAATGGATCCCGGGGCCGAGCCAGGGGGAGGGGGAGGAAGATGACCAAAGGCGTGGTCGAAAAGGTCTTCAGCTAAGACCTGAAAATAGGAAGAGAGGGAGTGAGGCGAAGGGAGTGAGGGAGTTCTAGAGCCCCGGGGCGTAGTGGCTAAAGACACGGCCGCCAAGGGTGGAGCGGAGGACTCGGGGGACGAGAAGGAGGCCAGACCCGGAGGAACGAAGGCAACGGGCAGTGTTTTGAGGAGAGAGGAGGTCAGAGAGGTAGGGGGGTGCAGAGGAGGGAGGGATTTGAAGACAAGGGTGAGGATCTTGAAGTCGATCCTCTCTGGGATAGGCAGCCAGTGCAGTCTGGCCAGGACTGGGGTGATTGGGGAATGGAGTTTGGTGCGGGTGAGAATGCAGGCGGCAGAGTTTTGAATAATCTGGATTTTATGGATGGTAGCGGAGGGTAGACCGGCGAGGAGGGCGTTAGAGTAGTCCAGCTGAGAGGTGACAAAAGCATGGACTAGGGTTTCAGTGGCTTTTGGAGAGAGGTATTGGCGGAGACGGGCAATGCGTCGGAGGTGGAAGAAAGCGGTGCTGGTGAGGGAGCGGATGTGGGGGAGGAAGGAAATTGGGGGTCGAACTATTAAGTCAATTTAATAACTTCATTCGTCACAGATAGATGCAAAATATTAAACACAAGAGAGCCTGGAATGAGGTAGAGAAGACATTTGACCAATCAAACCTGTGCCATCCAAAATACATTCACAACTTTCTGTGAACACTTGCGCCCTCACCTGGTCGACCTTTTATCCTTACACACTTAAAAATACCTCTAAAAACATTCCTCTATCATACATGTTAAGGCCTTTGTGTGTGCTGTATGGTCTTTGTGAAAGCTGCTTGCAGAATTGCAAATTATTAAATTCAATTAAAATAGCGAGTCCTGCAGCTCAATGGTTAGAGCACTTGCCTCGCAAGCGAGAGAACCTGGGTTTGATTCCCAGCGGGGCAAAACGTTGGACAAGTTTCCTTACTCCACACGCCTGTTTACCGAGCAGTAAGTAGGAACCCAGTTGTTAATCGATTGGCGGTTCGCTTTTGCGGGGGTAATAATCCCTTAAAAAGTAACATTTGGTCACTCAATCCACGAAAGTTTCTGGGACACTGCTGTGTGCAATTGGCTGCCGTGTTTCACCCCAAAAATACAATACAAAATTACATTTGTAGAGCACCTTTCGTGTCAGGAGGATGTCCCAAGGCGCTGGTTTGTCAGGGATTTGGACCTGAGATGGGGGGGGGGGGTTTGGGTTAAGGCATGGTGGAAGGCAGGGAGGTAGCCAAAGAGGAGGATCTTGAGACGTGCCTTGAAGGAGGCAAGAGAGGGAGCGAGGCGAAGGGAATGTGTGATGGGAGTTCCAAAGGATGGGGGCAGACACTGAAGGCCTGACCACTGATGGTGGGGCAGGGGATGTGGAGAGGGCTGGAGGCTGCTGAGTGGAGGGAGCCGACAGGTTCATTAGGGGTTAGCAGCTCATACAAGTAATTATTCAGTGCTTTTGAGGTGCTCTTTTGCATGAAGGGCACTTTATAAGTGCAAGTTGTTATATAATAATCCTTGCATTTGATATAGCGCCTTATGTCGTTGAGACTTCCCAAAGCGCTTCACAAGATATATTGTGAAGTGAATTGACTGTATATTGTTGATTTTCAAGATGTACATTTGTTATTATTATATTATTATTGTTGCATTGAACTCTTTGTAGCTGTTCATAACTGTTCTGAAATTTGATCTGAGCCAAACTTCCCCCATCAGTTGTTTCCTTTGGAGATGATGGGACACACCTGCACAATAGGTAATCTAATGTAAATTTGTTCCAGTGTTGTTTTAAGGAGTGGCCGGAATTTGACCTAATTTGAATCTGCAAAGTGCTAGTAGATACCTTGTGACGTTGCCTCACAGATCAATTATTTCCCCAAGCAATGATCACAGAGATCCTAACAAACGCAGGAACAGATAAATCATCTGAGTCAATCTTTTCACGGCAAATTTATTAGAAATCCAAAATGGGGGCACGACCAACACAGTACCTTATTTTGTAACAAAGCAAGTTATTGCTTTTGAGAAATTGAGCCAACGGGAACAATTTATAGAAACTGACTGGGTAAAGAAGCTGCAAGACAACAAAAGTAGGTGACTTGTCTGCAGATCAATCTTCTGCAATGAGAATGTTTTATTTCAAAAAAAGGTTGTTATCCAAGCCATAGAGACCAGAATTTTTCGGGTTCCAAGTTCCAGTCGGTCTTAGTAAGGCAATCTCAAGTCAAGGCAGCAGTTAGTGTGGTACGATAGTCTGGAGGTCCTGTAACCGATTGCAACCCTCTGGCCCCTTATGGAAAATATGTTAGTTATGTGGCGAGGACAGGAGTGGGACTCAATGTAATAAATCCACCTGCACCGCTGCATGTCAACATTTAATGAGTAATCTAATTGTTGTCTTCTTATTTAATTTATGACCAGCAAAATTACACAACAAAACTTTGTGTGTGGGAGTAAAGGAAGCCAACACTGCAAGGTGATGCTTCATAATAAACAAACACGTGAACACTTACATTAAGTATTGCTTTACTCAGATATAATTAACAGCACAAGTTTCACTTTGTTTCATGAATCATGGGACTGAAGAGTGTTTTAAATAGATTTCACTGTTCTCCTAGTCTTCTGAAAAAAACCTTCCCTCAGAACTCTTTTAATAATTCTTGCATTCGATATAAAGTCTTATCACATCTTTGAGATGTCTCAAAGTGCTTCACAGCATAAACCGTAAAGTGAACTGACTGTATATTTTGTAGATGAAATGTGGCCGCCAATTGCACACAGAGTCCCACAAACAATCGTGGATTGAAAAAATATTTGGAAGGAATTATTACCTCTGGAAAAGCGATCCACCAATCGATTAACAACCAGGTTCCTACTTACTGCTAGGTAAATAGAAACGTGTGACGTAAGGAAACTTGCCCAACGTTTCGCCTTGCGTGAGAATCGAACCCAGGCCCTTCTGTTTTACAGAAAACAGCAATAAACATATTTCTTCCTTAGATGCGTAGTGTTCCATCACTAGTATGTTGTACTCCAAACCACTGCAGGGTCAGAAAGGAAATACCAATGATGGATTTAAGCAAAGATAAGAGGCTAATGGTGTTGTATAAACTGTCTTTATTGGAAAAGTATCATTCTGTCAAGTTACTTTCCAGGCAGGAGGATACCATCATACTGCAAGAAAAAGAGAGTAAACATCAAGTTACTGTAGCAATTATATTACACATTGAATCATCAATGTATAAATCACATCTTGCCACCTCTGACAAAAAAACGGCAAATAGGTAACATTTGAATCAAGTGGCAATTACACAGATGCAAGGGATCCTCGGGGTGGGGGGGGGGGTAGAAACGCAAGGCAAATGAGGCCTCATTGGAATTGAGCTTGGAATGGAATATCAGAACTGAATCATAAATGTCCTGGTTTTCCAGTACCTGAGCCAGATGGATCTGCAGTACATCAAGGCAGTTATTGGATAACGTACCAGTGAGTCTGCCCCATTGGCAAGGAAGAAGAGACCAGTTACTGAGAGCAGAGATTGCTCCCACTCAGCTATAAACCAAAGCCCTAAACAGGTAAAGTGTAGTCCTAACTGGAGAAGTAACAAGACGTTCGCCAGAGAGTGCTTTCAATGGCAAGCTTTGGAGTTTTCCCTTGCAAAAACTCCTATACACACTCTGGGTTCCCCAAACCTTGGCTTTTACCAATCTGTGTCTAATATTTCTCTGGAATTAGGTAAGCAGGATATGTCCCTCCAACCAGAGTGCATATTCCAAGTGTATAGGATATATATATATATATATATATATATATATATCACATTGGGCCATGCATTCAGCTGACTTAACAAAATGCCAAAGACACCTGAAGATACCAAGAGGTCACTTACTCCCGTGTGCTATGTGCTTTGGGCCGAATGGCCTCTTTTTGTGCTGTACGATTCTATGAAGTCAGGTATACAGCACTAGAAGTGAACTGTACCTCCGGGCCAGCCTTCATCTAAAATGCTACTTACTTTGTGCTGGAACCATCGCATTACTTCTTCTTTGGAGATTCTGTGCTTGGAACCAATGCGACCTCTTTTGACCTTCTTGTCTGCAATACTGAAGCCGGGTCGTCCCATGACCTGTAGATTATAGAAGCAATTTATCGTGAACAGACATATTGGAGCAACCTTGAACAATCTTTTCCATCCTCTTTTGTCCAGCCTGTAAGCCACTCACCCAAAAAGCAAACGCCTGTATAATAAGGTCAATTTAAAAGCTTTGCCTGTGGCAAAGGTTCAAGTGTAATAATATATAAACGATTTAAAGATCGACTTAGATTAATTTCCATTTGTACCCGGGGCTCAAATTTCCATAAGCATAAATCTTAAAAACTACCAAAAAATTCATCATAAAATATCTGTACGATGAGCCAGAAAAAACAGCATCAAAGAGCTATGTAGTAAACAGTGCAGTTGTTGACCAGTTCAAGCCAAAAAAAATCACCCACAAAAACTAGAGAGGAAACGACAGCATAGAAGCCCATTCAGCACTGGTACTAATGCCTATCCAAAACATTTTGTAACTAATCACTCATCCGCAAAGTAATCTTTAAATTGTGTGCTCTTGTTACCGACTCAGTAAACCTCTGATCTTCCTAACAAAAGTATTTAGAAAATTGAAAAAAACCTTCAGATTACCCTTAACAACCTGTTCTACCAAATTCAAGTCTTCCCACATAACCTCTGATCCCTGGTAAACACACACACTCGCACTACACATCTTTCTTTCAACCAACTGAGAGTCATTGATTACATCCTGACAGTCTGAAAAACATCTCACTGCTTCCTGTCCTGCAGCAATCTCTCTTGGTTTCATGCTGCCCCAATCTCCTCAACACCACATGCCTTCATTTTGTAACCAATTACTTATGTGAATTTTTTTCTCTCTGAAAATGAAACTACATTTTGATATCAAGGGACTAGACTGCACAAGAAGCCCAGTGCAGATTGTGATTGTAAGGTCAGATATTTAATTGGTTAATTGGAGTTGTTTTAGTCCGCTAATCAAGGCACGTGGGAAATGTAAGGTTGGATACTATAAATTGAGAATAACAACTTGCATTTATATAGCATCCTTCATGCGGGGTAGCTCTAAACAGTGGTTGACCTCGGCCCCGATTTAGGGAAAGAGGGGAGACGACTGTAGTAATCGTCAAAAAGGAAGGTCTTCAGCTACAAACAGCAGAACTATTTCTATGTTTAGCATATAATTGAAATCACTTCAGCCAAGAGATATAAGGAGTGCTCTCTAAGGCATTTATTTATGCCATAAATAAAAACATATTCAACCAAGAAACAAAATCGAAACAATATTGATTGAACTCAAGACTCATCCAGACTAGTCAAAAGTTTTGTGGGTCACTTCATACAGCCTCACGGGCCAGAAGTGGCCCACAAGCCATGGGTTGGCCACCACTGCTGTAAAGTTTATCTGCTACAATAGCTTGCCATGAATAGCAATGCAGCACAGCTTATACAACAAAAGGACTAACAATATCAGTTTTAAGCTGTTTCTATAAGATAGTCGAGCTTCTCCGCTACAACTGGCTTTTTCGAAAAGTAGAATCAGGTTCAATAAAGCTAAAATGATTCTGTGATGTGCCTATAAAGCCCAGATGTTCCAATATTTTACAGACTTGAACTGAAGATATTAAATCCATCACTGACAGCAGGCTCAGTAATAAGACTGTAAAACTAAGCTATTAAAATGACTATAACAGATTCTATTGAAATGCTAATAGCAGATGGTTACTAAAGATTCCAGCATGTGAATTACAATCAGCCTGGGATAAAAAGGGCACGACTGAATGAGTAAGATCCACAGCAGTTCCATTACGACTGTACAGCACTTGGCTCAAAAGATTCCACATCGAGAGTCTTTCCTGCTATTTTCAGATCTGACACTATCTCAACGATTCCATCATATTGGCCCAAATTCAGTACAACCATTTTAAACACGGTGTTGCAAAGCACATAAAACCTGCGTGGTTTAGAAGATTTGAACCATATGCTGAAATATGTACAAGCAAGTCTATGACCAAAAAGGCGCATAACTGCACATTCTGGTCGTACCACAGCATATAGATATATGCCCCGGAGGCCAAAACACTAAAGGCTTCAACCAAAGTTACAATAGCAAACATTAAGATAGGAAATCCTCATGACTTATTATAAGCAGCCCAGTTCTAGTGAAATCTGCCGTTTCTCATCTACTGAGTATCAATGGGAGAGGATAAGGCAGTCGGAGAGACACCCAGCAGTGCACATCACTGCTCAAACAACATAATGCTGAATTGAAAGTCTGCAAAACTCAGTACTCACCACATAGAAATCCAGACCATAGATTCCAATGGCAGGATCATACTTGATGCCCAAATCAATGTGCTCCTGGATACCAAACCCAAAGTTTCCAGTGTTTGAGAAGTTGTTCTTTCTCAGTTCATATTCCCGAACCTAAAACACAATAACAATAATCCTTGCATTTGATATAGTGTCTTATCACATCGTTGAGACGTCTTAAAGCGCTTCACAGGATATACTGTGCTCAGTTTTAAAATACCATCTACTGCACTGCACCACTGTAAACAACTTGAGTTTATATAGCACCAGATGCATCACTGAAACAAGTTCAGTGCACTTTACTAAGCATTTTAGCTTAGAAGCAGCTGTGAAGCATGATATTCATGATGAAAAGGGTATTCAATGCAATGAACGTCATTAAAATTGTCCATTTTTATTCACTGGACACAGCTTAATAAACCAACACTTGCTTTGGACTGTATAAAACAGGAATGCTACACATACAGAGTTCTGTATGTTACTGCTATTTTTCCCAACTCCCTGCAGGCAACAAAACCATGATTTATATGCAAATAAAATTCTTAATTATGTAGGAAATGCTCACCTTTAGGCCTTTCTCCAAGATTTCCTCAGCTTTGGCCCCACGGATTGTGCAATGAACCGCAATTTTCTCATTTCTCCTGATGCCAAAGGACCGCACAGTGTAACGAGCTGTATCAAAAATAAATCATATTATAAAATCACAGAGAAAGGTCCACAACACAGGAAACCATTCAACCCACTTGTATTTGCTGGTGTGAGCTCCCCTACTGGGGCTAACTGCTACCAACCTGCAGCTTTTAATCATTTTTTCTTGAGGTACTTATTCAAACCTTTAATGAAAGCTGCCCACTCTGCCAAATCCTTCACTCAGATTGAAACACAAAAAGGCCTTCAAGTTTAACATTTTAACAGTTAGCCCTAACTGCACCAATACTGATTCTTATATTCAACAATGTTAATTTAATATTTGGCCACCAGTAGCCTACTGAATACATTAGTTTGGAAAATCCCATTTTAAATTGCTAAATTAAAACATGCACAAGGGTTGCAGATTTTCAAATTTATTATTTTATTAGTTAGACAATTTTTCAACAAACTAAGAAGATGTGCTTATTTCCAGCTCTCAGGTCATCAGAGACACCACTTCCTGCAATTGGGAAGAGATGTATCTCGAAACCTTTTGATCCTGATGGAAGTTGATCATTTTTGCACCTCCAAAAAAAANGCTCAGCAGTGAACAAATACCGAATCCAGCAAGGATACGTACACAATGGATTAGAAACATTAACAACGTGGCTGTTGACCAAACCATACATTAGAATGGAAAACCTCTTGTTTATGTTTGACGAATCCAACAGGTGAACAGAATGCTAATCAACAGAAGGCCTTCATATTCTTAATTCATTTATTGCCACAAGAGTGGGAGCGTCATCAGAAACACCAACCTTTGGAAAACACTGGGGTCTGACCAGTGAGTTGCTCCAGCACTTTAGCAGCTCTGGTGAGTCTGTCACCACTTTCACCCACACAGATATTCAGGCAGAGTTTTCTGATGCGGAGCTCGCGCATAGGGTTTTCCTTTTCACTCTGAAAAAAGGCAAAGGAAACTTAAGCGTTAATATGATGCATTTAATACAGTGCCTTGTCACCTCAACAAAATGTTTAAAAGCGCTTCACAGGATTTTATACGAAGAAAATGACTGCACACTTGTAGGCAAACATGCCAACCAATTTGGGCACAGCAAAGTCCCACAAACATTAAGCAGCCAATTTTGTTTGGAGTATTGTTGGGCAGGATTCAGCAATAACATGTTCAATAGTGCAATAAAATCTTCAACGTCCAACTCAACAGGTAGATGGGACCTCAGTTTAATGTTTCATCTTGTCTCCTCTGACAATGACCACCTCGCCGACTATACTGCAATGTCAGACTTGACCAATAGAACAAATGGTTTGGTATTCTATTCTGAAACGGCTAAACTCATAAATTTTACAGTTCATCTTTCAAGAAAAGATTGTCTTTCAATACCTTTAAAAAAACTTGGTAAACGTTTAGGAATGATGTCAAGTCAATAGAGGGCCTGTAGAGGAGATTTATTAGGATGATATAGGGGATGAGTGGTTTGGTTTATGAGAACAGGTTGGATGAACTGGGTTTTTCTTCTGGAACAGATAGAGGTCTTCAAAATTATGAGGGTTTTAGATAAGTCAATGGGGAGAGGTTATTCCCACTGGTCAGTGAATCAGTAACTAGAGGGCATCAATTTAAGATAGTTAATTAACGAGAAAATGGGGAGGGTGGGAGAAATGTTTTCACGCAGTTAAGAAATGGAATGCCCTACCGGGAATAGGGCAGTTGAGGTATGAAGTAAGTTACCAATTTTTGTTTATTTGGGGGAATGTTGGTCAGGACACTAAGGGAAACTTGCTTCTCTTTCCAAATTGTTCCACGTGATCTGTATCCAAAGACCAATATCTCTGACAATTGAGGTGCAGATCAGCCATGATCTAATTGAATGGCTGAACAGGCTCGAAGGGCTGAAAGGCGTACTCCTGTTTCTATTAGCGATGGTTGAGGCAGTATCCGTGTTAGCTTTCAAAAGCGAACTAGACAAATACATACAACTAGACATTTATATAGCCCCCTTCACGCAAGGCAGTGTCTCAGAGCGGTTAGAACAGGTAACAAAACTCAAATGGTCGCAAGGGCCATTTAAGTTAACACTGTTGACTTGTTAGGCCACACATCGTTAAATAAAGGTATACATAACACATTGCATAAAATTGGTCACTCATGCCATGGCTGTTTGTGGGACACTGCTGTGTGCAAACTGGCCGCTGTATTTCACCCACAAAACAGTCAATCCACATTACAGTATAATAATAATCCTCGCATTTGATACGGCTCCTTATCGGTCTTCGAGACGCCTCAAAAGGCTACACAGGATATACTGTAAAGTGAATTGACGGTATATTTTGTGGGCGAAATGCGGGACATAATACGAAGCACTTTTGAGATGCCTCGACGGCGTGAATAAATGCATCAGGACACGCGGGTTACCGATTACTGCCCTCGTAGGTACCGCTGCCCTCGGACGCAGCGCTGCCCTCGGCCGCAGCGCTGCCCTCGGCCGCAGCGCTGCCCTCGGCCGCAGCGCTGCCCTCGGCCGCAGCGCTGCCCTCGGACGCAGCGCTGCCCTCGGCCGCAGCGCTGCCCTCGGCCGCAGCGCTGCCCTCGGCCGCAGCGCTGCCCTCGGACGCAGCGCTGCCCTCGGCCGCAGCGCTGCCCTCGCTGGCGTAACCGACCGGGAGCGTCACTCACGCGATGCAGAACGCGTGGGTCCGAAACAGAAGCCTCGTATTTAAAAAAGGGGGGGGGAGGGGGAGGGAGGGGGGGGGGAGGAGGGGGGGAAGAGAGGGTTTTTTTTTGCGTTTAAAAAAAAACGAGGAGACGAATTGCGGGACGGCCCGGGGGGGGGGGGGGGGGGAAACACACACACACAACTGCCTGAAGGGAAGAGTCAGCTCCGGGGTTAGAGGGGGGGTGGGGGGGGGGGAACTGCTGTTGAGGAGGAGGAGGCGGCGGCGGCACAGACGTGTCGGGCCTCTCAGGGTCACCCAAACACACAGCAACGACCCCACCCCAGACCTAGAACAGCAGCCCCCCCCCTCCCCTCCCCCCCACCCTCACACACAGGGCCTCTCCGCGCGCCGCTCGCGGGGCTGACGGTTAATGATGGCGGCCGCGGGGCCCCCGTGTCAGCCGCCGCCCCCGTCGCTCCCCCCGAGAGAGGCACATCTCCCCACAAATCTCCCGATACCGCGCTCAGACGGGGCCGACCGCCGAGGGCGAGGCGTCCTCCGCCCGCGCGGCAGCCAAACAAGGCGAGGGGTCGAGCCGATGGAGAGGATGGCCGCGGATTATCGCCCCCCATTCCCTCCGCTGACTGAACCCCGGTACGCACCGCCATCCTGGAGCCGCCGGAAGAGAACGCGGGGCACGCCGGGAAGCGAGTTTGTGCCACGTGACCCAGCGCCAGCTGTCAATCACACCGGGGGGGCGGGGGCGGGGTTGGGCGGCTTCACGCCCAATTGGGCGTTTTTTTTATTGCTGTGAAAACAGCATGGGAGGGGGAGGGGGATGGGCGGGAGGGGGAGGGGGAGGGGGATGGGGGGGGGAGGGGGATGGGGGGGAAATGCTTCAATTTAACTGTTTTTAATTTCAAACGTGCAAAGCATTTTCGAAGACTTTTTCCCGCACAGTTTCGAAAGCGCTAACCTCGATTGGCCACAAATGCACAGTCACTCCACTTTACAATGTACCCTGTGAAGCACTTTGAGACGCCTCAACAATGTGATAAGGCACTATGATCAAATGCAAGGATTATTATTATTGTTGTTATTATTATTATTATTATAATTGGCCGCTCTGCTATCTATATTCGGCAATGCAGAATATTGGGCTACTGGTGGGCTAGTATTTAGTTGATTTTGGACTACAAATGTATTTTAATTTCTGGCAACCATCTAATTATGTTTTGGGCAGATTTTCCCCCAGGAAGTGTCTGACACATGTGGAAACCTGTCGGGGTGCTTGAGAGTTTCCAAACTGAAGAGCTCCACTTATAATAATGACAATAGCAATAGTATTTCTTTACACAGGTAACAATCAACAGCTGGAATTGGTCACCAGGGAAGGTTGTTGAGTCCGGGACACTGGACACTTTCATGAAATAGTTTGATTCAGAAATGAGAAGACAAGGGGGATTTGTATTCTTGAAACGTGAAATCCAACGGGTCTCTCTCCAATCCTCTCTTGTCATTGCGATGTGTTGTTACATTAAATAAATTAATGTTTTCAATTCATTTTAATCATTAGAAAAGCAAATGTTAGAATCAACTCATCATTTATCTTGTTTCATCTCGTCTCAGTCACTGTTGGGTTTTGGATTTGGCCAGCATTGGAAATAGAAAGGGAAGGTAATACAATATAACACGTTTCAATTTACTTTTATATAGCGTCTTTAGTGTCAGGAGGACATCTCACAGTGTTTGACCATGCTGGAGGGAGAGGAAAGCAAATACATTACACTTAGCAGATATAATCAGAATGGACAATAAAAAAACAAGGGGACAAGGGAAGAAAAAAGGAGGGAGCAATATTTTTTNAAATGCTTCTTTTATATGTCATAATATAACAGCAATTGACATCTCAGTATTGCTTATTCTGTTACTTTAAGGAATTATTGAGCCTCCAAATTGTAAAGTGAAACTATAGCAGAGGGGTTACATAATTCCTTTGAGTGAAATTATTGTTGATTGTTACCCGTGTAACTCGCCTTGCAAGCGAAAGACCTGGGTTCAATTCCAGGCAGGGCGAAACCTTGGGCAAGTTTCCTTTCTCCACACGCCTAATAATAATCCCTCCAAAACAAAACAATAATAAATTGGTCATTTTCAATTCACGGCTGTTTGTGGGACACTGCTGTGCGCAATTCGCTGCCGCGTTCGCCCACAAAAATACAGTCAATTCACTTTACAGTCTATTCGGTGAAGCGCTTTGAGACGTCTAGAAGACGTGAAAAGCGCTATATCAAATGCAAAGATTATTATTATTATTATAAAGAAATACCTCTTTGCACTGGAAGGGTTAATACGGCAGCTAATTGCACACAGCAGTGTCACACAAACAGTCGTGGATTGAGTGACCAAATAATTTTTTCCCCAAGAAGAAACTAACAAGGATGTGAACCTGGGCAATAAAAGGCTGAAATCACTTGGAAGATTTGAAATCTTTTTTTAAAAAAAATTCCTTCTTTTCTCTCTTCTGTCTCCCTGTTTCAATCACTTACTTTCAATTATTACTTAGGTTGACTGTGACCAATCATTCAAAGCTTCAGTTTTGTGTGAATTTCTTTCTTCAGAGTACCTCAGTGAAAATGTGGTGGAATCATCAACACGTTTTTGGCAAATCTAAAGTACAAAATGTAGTTAAATTCCCCAAACAATCTCTTAAAGCTTCAGAGTTATTGAACAAGGCAAGTGTGAACCGGGGCAGGCTCGAGGGGCCAAATGGCCTACTCCTGCTCCTATGTCTTATGGTCCTACATCTTATGAACATAGCAAATCAGTTTGGCAGTCGGACTTCGTGGGAAGGTTATAACAATAATGATCTTGGACACACAGTACAAGATGAATAAGGCAAACAGGATGCTGGGCTACATTGCAAAATCAGTTGAGTTAACATCTACAGATGTCATACTCAAACTATATGGTACTCTGGTCAGGCCGCACCTAGATCTGTTCACCACCGGGGCTGCCTTGGCTGTGGAGGCAGTGCAAGGGGGTTGATCCCTACCTAGTGTTAGTGGAATGAGCTGGGAGCATCCATTAGACAAGCTGGGGCCTTCAGTCTTGTAAGGAGACTCATTTAAGATTGAAGCTGTAATGGGAAGATGGTAGGTTGGGCATTTTCAAATGGGCTGAATGGTCTTTTTAATCCAAACCTCTCTTGTTATCTTGTGATAAAAGGCAATACATAAAGAAGTTTTGTGCACTTTGTGTATTTCGGGAAAACAGAATGAAAATACGGGAAAGCATGTGATTCACAAGATGCCTTATCAGCGTATGGGAGAACTCCATTAATATATACTAAAGGGTTTCACTTTCTGAATAGTTCTCAAACTATAGTACTCTAATACAGCCATAAAGCTGTTTCAGAGCTGTAAACAATTGGATCTCATAAAGACAAATCTTACTTGATAAGACGTTCCATACAGAGGAAATACTCATACTATTCTGTTTGTTTGCTTACCTTGACATCTCGAATTGAAATGGCAAACGCCTTTAGCAACACCTGTTTGTGCTAAGGTTAACGTGTCTTACGTGAAATGTACTGGGTCACAAGTGAAATTGATATGGAGAGCAAAGAGAGGACGAAAGCGAAAGGCCATTTGGCCCATCAATAAAACTGAAGCTAATATAGACAGATGATCAAATGTTAATAATATAGTAAATGATTCCTTGTACAGTACCTTATCTTGTCGAAACATCTCAAAGAGCTTCACACAGTTTTCTGTAAAGTGTTGTGGCTATTTTTGAAAGCAAATGCAGCAATCAATTTTTTGCACAGCAATATCCCACAAACAGCCATAAGGAGAATAACTAGCTTTATCTGCAGGATTGTTGACCAGGACACGAGGAGAAACTCCCTTCTCTTTGTGAACAGTGTCTTTTATGTCCACCTGAACAGGTAGATGAGAACTTGGTTTTTAACACCTAATCTGAAGGACGGCATCTTCCACAATGCAATGTTCTGTGGATTGTGATGGTTCTCAGGTTGCAGGGATACAAGGATGTGAGGGAACCGATCAAAGATGTTAGATAATGGCGGGAGGGAAAGATTGTCTTTGGAGAGAAATATTGCAGAACCTTCCTTTGGGAGATTGAACACATTGGTGGACTCAGTGGTTGAGTGGGTTTCACATAATTTGTGAATAGACAGGTTTAACAGGTGGAATGATCTTTTCTTGTTCTATACTTTGTTCCACTCACATGTTAAGTTCAACCATCACACAAGCCCCTACAGGGAATATTGCAATATTTTGTAATAGATTTTGATCTGCTAATTAACACTCAATATAAAAATAATTATAACAATATGACATCTAGGGGGAGACATTTGACCGGGGTCCAGATTTATTCTACTTTCTTGGCAATGATAATTTCCAGAATTTGGCAAATTGTTGATTTAGTTGAATTCTTAAATTTGAAGTCAGATTTCTGAAATGACAGAATTTCAGACCATAATTGCCAACTAGTTTCAACTCTAAAGAACCCCCTAAAGCTCTATAACATTGGTTTAGTCCATAGAAAAAAATGTGGCCACTGTCTTTGCCTAAGATGACTCAATGACCGGTATATTTATAAAAAAACAGTCAGCATTTGAATATGCTTTTGCAGACGACTGGTTGAATTTGGCTGGTATCCTGTCTTTTAGATCAGGAAATCTGGAGGTCTTCAGGACAGAAGTGCACATTTCCGGGACATCAACTTAGGCTTGATGCCAGAGACTAACAAATTGCCTTTAATAATAATAATCCTTACATTTGGTATAGCACTTTCGCGTCGGGAGGACGTCTCAAAGCGCTTCATAGGATATACTTTAAAGTAACGCGACTGTGTGTTTTGTGGACGAATCCAGCTGTAAATTTGCACACAGCAATATCCCACAAACAGCCAAAATGTCAATTTTATTTAGAGGTTGTTGACCAGGACACTGGGAGGAACTCAATTCGCTTTTCAATCCATGCCATGGATCTTTAACGTCCACCTAAACAGGCAGATGGGCCTCGCAGTCTCATCTGAAGGACCCCCATCACGGAGAAAAGTGAATTTGATGATTTATGAGTTGGATTTGGCTTGGGAAGGTGGTGGGGATGGATATACTTAGAGTCCCGTAGGCATAGTGGTATGCGCAATTGCCTCACAAGCGAGAGGACCTGGGTTTGATTCCTGGGTGGGGTGAAACTTTAGGCAAGTTTCCATACTCCACAGGCCTCTGTTTACCTAGTAGTAAGTACGAACCCATTGTTAGTCGATTGGTGGATCACTTTTTGCGGGTAATAATCCCTCAAAAATAAAACGTTTTGTCACTCAATTCACGACTGTTTGTGGGACACTGCTGTGCGCAATTGGCTGCCCACAAAATACACAGTCAATTCACTTTACAATTTATTCTGTGAAGCACTTTGAGATGTCTCAAGGATGTGATAAGGCACTATATTAAATGCAAGGATTATTATTTTTAGTAGTAGTAGTAGTATCTATAGGCAGCAGGTTAGAGGTCCCCTAATCTAGTACTAGTTTCCATTACACAAACTGGTTTGAATGAATGCATTCAGTTTGCTACCTGATTTACTGTGGACTAATTATTTGTGGGCGAAAACATTTGTACTTTGGCACCATTCAGTACAATTAGTGCTGACGTA